CATAACTTTTTATCTGAACGCATGCCGTACACTGGGAACAATTACCTTTCACAGAGATTTTATTATTAACAACCTTTTCGCGCTTTAAGGTCCAAGTGCAAGGTAACTTTGTATATTTATAAATGTTTTCCTTCAACAAATTACTCCATTTGAACTTTGGCATTGTCCTGTATTTCTTATAGGTGTTAGTGCCTGTTCTTCTCTGGTATGCATATAGAGGCTGAATTTTTTTCCAGTCATACAAATCCATTTCATATGAAAATGTTTTTGTTTCTTTTTGTTTACTGTTCTCTAAATCAAAATCGTTATCTTCAAATGATGCGTTTGTTAGACAACTGCTATTACTAGCACTTTTAATAGTATGGCTTTCACCAGTTGTCTGTTTCACAAGATGTGAATCGTGATATTGAAAAAAAAAGTGACGGTTGCGTTTCAATGATATAAACAAAGCTAATGGGGACATTTTAAAATTAAGTTCTTTAGAGATGGTTAAGAAAATTCGATCACTACTTTTAATGTTGGAATTTTGTAGTATCTCAGCATATTTAGTAAAAACTTGTTTTTGATCTTCAAGATCTACCTTTGATTTACGACCTTTCGGCATAATAGTTCTGAAACAATGACATTCCTAACATAACTTATACTATTCTTTATAAAGTTAACTAATAATAATTGATACAATATAGGTACTTACATTCCCAACAGGAAATCAAAGTGAAGTTATCAGTCACTTATTATGCACTATTGCAGCAGCAAATAGTATCCTCACAAGTCAACAATTATGACGTGATGAATATTAATATAGTTTAGGAACAGAAATTAAACTTAAATATGTGCGCAAACAAGTGAGCTCCGTCGTTAATGAATGTCAGATTACTAAATAAATATGAGGGTAGATACTTTCGACAATAATTTTCAGTTACCCTCAAATGAGATAAATAAATTAAATTGGATTAACTTAGGAATAATCTTTGTACCGAATATTGTCGAAAAATTAAATTTCAAAAATGAATCATCCTAGTTTAATTCATATAACATGGTCACCCTAAATAGCGAATTCGTAAGGAATATTCAGAAGTGATTTGTTTTTCAGATACCGAACATATACAATGTTGATCTGTGCATATGTATTTAGTAGACCGTTTATACTAAATGTTAGTGTCTCTGGTATTTTATTCCGTTTTGATCTCAGGTAGGTACAGTCAATTATTTATTATGCAGACGTCACGATTGAGGAGCCAAATGAAATGCATTTATTAATTAAATTCGCTCAGTCTACTACTTTGTCCATATACTACAAATTCGAACACACTTACTACTAAATGTCTTTAGAGTGGAATATAAATTGACCAATAACTTTCATGGCAATTCATGCTCTTGTGTATAGATCGAGGAGCCACATTAAAAGTATTGTATATTCTTGAATATAAACAATACTGGGCTCAAATTTTTAGTAGACACTATACACAATTGCTACTAAATGATACAAAATTTTCAAAAATATACATGAAATACTTTCCGTGTTTCAGGTGGCTCCTCAATTCAGATGTTTGGATTGAGGAGCCACATTCACAGTTACATAACTTTAGACATATTATACTACAAATTTCAGAATTCGGTCTACAAAATTATTTACTTCCCTACTAAATAAGGGGGCGAGCTTCCTTTTTAAATCGAAAGTGGCTCCTCAATCCATACGGACATGATATTTAGACACTTTTCTATAAGAAAAATCTACTATACTGTACTATATGTCGCGGAGAACCTAACGAGTTACCGGGGCTCCGGCTCCACGTGCAGGAAAAGGACAATCTGACACTCCCTCCCGCCTCACCCAGGCGGGAGCAGCCATTCGATGATTTACCCCTTAAAAAAAAATACGGTACTAAATCTTCTGCTTATCCATTTAACCGAAAACAACGCATGATAAAAATTAATGCTGTTGAGACAGTTGGTTGAAATGATATTCACTTTCTTTATGTTCCTCTTACAATAGTAGTCCAGAGAGAAAAGTAAATCCGGAAATCAATTCTTTTTTTTAAACCTTTGGCCCACACTAGAATTTTATCCTGTGCCGTATGTACGTTTACAAACATACAAATTCACATGCACATGACACCCAGATCCGGAACAACAACCAGTGGATCACACAAAGAGTTGTTCTGTGCGGGAATCGAACCCGCGACACGTTGCACGGCAGCCAGTTGCCCAACCACCGCGCCAACCGTGCAGTCAATCAGTGCAATTACCACAGAGTAAAAACTAAACTAAGAATACATAACGTGTACAATATAGATTATAAATTTACCTAATTACAACGAATGCAATAAAATAAATACATTGTTTTTTCAATATGAGTATAAGTACCACGTGTGCTTGGAACAATGTGTCTAGGTACACATTACACCCTAGGAAACAAAAATCTAAATGATGATCACTGGAAATTTTATTATATTCATAAAAACATATGATTCACTGCCTAGTCTACAAAAATATTAACATGCACTTTAGGTACAGAATAAACAATTCCTATACGAAAATAAATAAATAAATAGATATGTCCATAAGTAGTAGTCTGTAATTTCGTCATAGGTTTTCAAGCCTCCGTGGCGCAATTGGTTAGCGCGTTCGGCTGTTAACCGAAAGGTTGGTGGTTCAAGCCCACCCGGGGGCGATTCTTTTTGTAATTTTTCATATTTTTTTATTGTTTTTTCTCTATATAAAATGTTGACTAATGGTTGAGTTATTCGAAGGAAGGAAGGAAGTTACATAAAAATGATTATAATATTGTTTTTATTATAGGAAAATAATCCTATCCAAATGATAAGATATTTTTAGTAATTAAAAAAAAAAATTAAAAAGGCTGTGTATACGAATTTTCATTCACAATATTTTAGGAATACAAATTAATAAACGTACGCTTGAGTAATTCTACTTTTTATTTAAAATACCTAACTAGTTTATGATTTCACAAAAAAAAACTTCCCGCTTTTGCATTCAGAAGAAAATTCTAATGAATTTAAAATGGCAGATTTAAACTGAATCATAAATAAATCAATGATTTGTAACGTTATTTACAGACACTATTTAATCAAGAACGATTAGTTTACAATATTACCTACTGATAACAACAAGATATCAAAGAAATGATATTAATTCGATAAAAAAATCGTATTTAGTTGGGCACTGTGATTTGGTCGAGACGCCATCTTGCCGAAAACTTTTTTAAAGGTTAGTGACATTATTGTTGTCAAAAAGATTCGAGAAAGTGTTTTTACGAAAAAAAATATAATTATACGTAATAATATAACGTAATTTTTAATTACAACAGGTACGTGAAATTAATTTAACATTATGTTTTGATTTAAATTTTGTTGATAATTTAAAAAATATTTGCCTTATCAAACTAATTATCTGCGGGTGAATTAGGAAAGATTGTTTTTTTTTTACTTCAGGATCGTTCTATTCGGCTTTACTTTCTATTTTTCAACACTATAACGTATTTTGTATTTGAAAAGAAGAAGAATTGAACACGAAAGTTGATTAAACATAAAATTTTGTTTTATTAATTTATTGTTTTATAAATATTTGTTACAAAAATATCAAAAATAATTATATTTTTTATGAACTCGAAAAAAAAGCAAACAAATTTTGTAATAATTGACACTTTACCGCCATTTTTTTTAATGTTACGGTTAAACGGCATCGTCGGGTAATTTGTAAAGTTCCGAGTTAACCTTTAAATGCCAAAGTACTTCGATAATCGAAAACTTGAATAAATTAATCTATAGAGCAATTTTTTAATTTTATTACAAAGCCAAAATTGGTCAAGTGGATTTGTTAAGATACTTGTAACATTAGCAGCACCTATCAGGATGAATTTACAAAAAGATTCTTTATCTATAAGTACCTACCTAAACAAAAATACAAGCAAAAAGAAACCTCTGCATGAATACATTATAGTTGTTATTTACTTACAAATAGTTTTTGATGATTACAATCAATAGGCTTATAAAATCAAGATACCACTAAAACATTTTAAATGTTAGTTTTTGCTATCTGTACTTAAATCTTTAGTTTGATAACAAAATAATACTTAGAGACGTGTAATGTTTATATTTAGGCCCAATTTACAAAAGCAATTATGTATTTCTATATGTGGACACAGTAGCATTATTTTTGTGTTACTTATGTCAGCGTAAATTAAATCTTAGGTGGTAAACTCAGCAGGCAATGCATAATATAAACATGTCGTTATAGAATTGACATTTCAGTGGTAACTGCAAACTCTGCAAATTGCACTTGTGATGCATATCTGCCTTCTTTATTAATCGACGACAAACTGATCTGAATCTTAATATTGGAGATGTATATTATATTTATAAAGTTTTTTTACAATTGATCTTATAATTCAGCATTTTCCTAAATTAACTGTTATAAAGATTGCATATATAGGTATACCGTATACCAATATATGCGAATCGTGCGACTAAAAGACTAATATTAGTCATGATGAAATTATGCCCCTTTTCAGTCATGTTACTAATATACTTAAAAAAGTACTTTCGTACCGTGAATGGACAAACTTTATCTAGATCCTTATCTAAGATATAAATCTAATCACAAGCTTTAAACACGGTAGCTACCGTTAGCACAAAGATACAATCAAAAAATTATCTTATTAACTTATAATTTTAAGCTGCAAACGTCAAGCCAAGATCTGATTTACTTGAGTTGATAAACTATAAGGAAATTAATTTTAGAAAATCGCCAGAGATGTCTCTCAATGCCTTCATAATTAACACACGTTCTGTAAACACAAATTCAATAATTCTACCAAGTTACACCTACATAACAGAAATGTTTGTTCCAGATTAAAATCTAATAAGTAACGAGCCTATGGATTAACACACACAATAAAATAATACACATACATAACAATTTAGACATTTTCCAATAGTTTTTTTCGTCCAACTGAAGGCGCGTTATATGAAAGCAGAATGGTGTGGTTACCATGCATGGGCGCACGAGATGAAGTGGAGGAGCACTCCAAACAAATCGACCGCGAGATCAAACAATGGATCAAATCTTATAATCAAGTGAGTATAATCATTTCTGCTTCGCACAGCAAAACTGTGGAATAATCTGTCATCGGTGGTATTTCCAAACCGATACAACGTTCAAACCTTCAAGAAAAGAGCGTACTCCTTTTTAAAAGGCCGGCAATGCAGCTGTGACTTCTCTGGTGTTTTAGGAGTCCATGGGCGGCGCTGATCGCTTACCATCAAGTGATTCGTCTAGTCGTTTGCCTCTTATTCCATAAAAAAGATAACTTCCAACACGAGATTCTAAGACAAAAATAAAAAGAGTTGCTTAGTGGAGTCCATGAAAATTGGTAAAAATTTGTCAATTAAATTCAAAACGTTTTTTATTTTATTTTATTGTGTACTAGCTTCTTTCAGTGGCTTGCACTCGTTCCCAAATAAAAAGTAACCTATGTGCTATTCCAAACCGTAATCTACCCCTGTTCCAAATTTTATTCCGATCCCTTCAGTGGTTTTGACAAGATCGATTAACAATCATACATATTACAAACTATTAGTAAGAAGATATTTATGAATAACTCGCGAACATTATTAAATTTTAATTTTGTTATCCTTACTATCAATTAATTTCTCAGTTCTTAAAAAAGAATGCAGTTCAAATCATTATTTCTTCACAGGCTATAAAATTGTTATTACTGGGCACTGGCGAGAGTGGCAAAACAACGATTATAAAACAAATGAAAATTCTACACGTTCAAGGATTCTCAGTGAGGTAAGAGATAAGGCTTTTTTATAGGCTGGGCGGGTAAAGTAGCAGACGAAGCACTTATTGTTGTGTTTGTTTTTGTTGGAACTACGTTTTAAACATACAGTTTCACTTACACATGACTACCAGACCCGAAACAACAATTTTGTGGATCAAATAAAGAATTGACTGCCTCATTGGCCGAATGGTCGCAAGTGCAACTGCCGGACAAGGGGTCTCGGGTTCGATTCCCAGGTTGGGCAAAGTATTACTGGGTTTGTAAAAACCTCAGTAGTAACACGGAGTCTGGAAATGTGCCCGGTATATGGCAATAGGCTCACCCCCTATTACATGGGACTCATAACATAGTGAAAACTGGGTGTTACATTGTACAGTAGCATTAAGTGCCGTAATGTGCACCCCTGCCTACCTCTTCGGAGATAAAAAGCGTGATGTTATGTTGTGTTACGTCATAAAGAATGGCTCCGTACGGTAGTCGAGCCCACTACCCGTTACACGGTAGCCAGTTACCCAGCCATTGTAGCAAGCGTGCAGTCAACTATTATTAATTTAAAAAAATGGATTTAATTCTAAACTTACATGATATTACTTCCAGTGAACGAGCAGAGAAAGCAAATCTTATTCGACACAACATTCATGAATCAATCCACGACATTGTAGACAATATGAACATCCTGAACATTCCACTACAAAAACCAAAGAATGAATACTCAAGAGAATATATTTTAAAACTTGGACCCGAGGGACCTACTAAATATACAGAAGTAAGTATACTGATCTTAACACAGTCTTATAAACAATTAAATTTTAAAAAATTAAACAATTATAGATAATTTGTTTTATCAATACTGCCTCGTTGGCCGAGTGTTCGCAATTGCGACTGCCGGGTAAGGGGTCTCGGGTTCGATTCCCGGGTCGGGCAAAGTATTACTGGGTTTTTAAAAAAATCTCAGTAGTAGCACGGAGTCTGGAACTGTGCCCGGTATATGGCAATAGGCTCACCCCCTATTAATAATAATAATAAACGTTTAATAATAATAGATTACATGGGACTCATAACATAAATAGTGAAAAGTGGGTGTTACATTGTACAGTGGTATAATGTGCACCTCTGCCTACCCCTTCGAGGATAAAAGGCGTGATGTGTGTGTTGTTTTATCAATACACTTTAGTGATTCATTAGTCGAGTGGTCGTTAGTATTACACCCTAGAAAGATGTATCGCGTTTGATTCTGGATCAAGATTAGGAATAGCTTATTTTTATTCATTTTCTTTTCAGGAATATTTTGACCACGTAAGAACTTTATGGCGAGATGGAGGTGTCAGAGAATGCTTTAGACGATCAAATGAATATCAACTTATAGATAGCGCTGAATAGTAAGTTTCATTTGACACTAGTTCTACACAATTTTTTATTATTTAAAAAAATAAAAATGAATTTTTTATTAACCTCTAAAAAATGGTCTATTTTAGAAAAATCTGAATTAATGCTTTTACTGCGACATTATCACTAGTGTCACCTGTTGACTGAGAGCAAAAATAAACAAACACAATTCTATTTTATGAATATAGATGGCACTTTTTTTAGTATTTGTGTTTTATATAAATTATCTAAGTATCTAATGTTTTCAGTTTCCTAGATAGAATAGATCTTATAGAAAAAACTGATTATGTACCGTCAGACGCGGACATATTGAGGTGTCGACAGAAAACCACGGGCATACAGAAGATTGAATTCAAAGTCAAGGTAAACAGCATTTCTTTCATACTACCTAATTTAGCACAGTTTCATACGTTCTGCACTGCTCCTATTGATCGTAGCGTGAATATTTTATAACCTTTCCCAATAAATTCACTATTCAATACAAACAGAATTGGAATGTTGACAGGGTATAAAAATTAAAAATATAATTAGTCCGTAAGTTAAGTAATGAAAAAATATTAGACACGTATTTTTTATTTTGTCGTATAATAAAACTATCCATACTTAGATAAAACGAATCAAAGTTTAGGAGTAGGGGCTACATTTTAACCCCAACTCCTAAATTCATTTCTACTCAGTCATTTCTACGTATAAAATGTACATAGAAGTGACGTCACGCGACATTTCAAATCAATATATCGTCGAAACTATTCGTTTCTGTAAGAAATTAAAAAATACGTGTCTAATGATTTAAAATAATCTACCAGACGGACATTAAAATAAAAATTAGGCATCTACCCTATTATTCAAATCAGAGCAGTAGTTCCGGAAATTAGCGCGTTTAAACAAACACAAAGTATAAGGTTTCATTGTTAGAATTAATAAACCAAAAACGTGTGCCCTTTCATTGGGCAATAAACAAATTGTCTAAATACAGTAACAGCTACCTTTTTTTTTATGGGATAGGCCGGCAAACGAGCAAATGGATCAGTGGCAAGCAATCGGCGTCGCCCAAGGACACACGGAACACTAAAGGCGATACATGCGTGTTACCGTTATAATATCTTCTGATTCACTTCGTTGCGGGAACCAAGACAGTTCCATGTCCCCGAGACGCGCCGGACTTGAGTGTTCCGGTGTTTTAATAGTTGTATCTACTGTAGATCCTGGCTTACAGGAGTTGCAGCGGTTTTAGGAGGTTGTGGCGGGCTTGTCAAATAAAAAAAGACAATTGTGTTACCGGCCTTTTGGGGCTTAGGGATTTAAGGATTCTAGGACCTACTATTCCTACTTAATCTTCGCCTGTGACATAGGAATATTCCTAGTACAGGCATATTATTTTTAAGATCTTGTCGCTTAATTAAGATATTATACCTATGTTGACCAGTGTTATTAATCCTTACTAAGTAATATTATAAATCGGAAAGTGAGTTTGTTTGTTTGTTCCGCTTTCACGCCGTAACTACTAAACCGATTGCTTTGAATTTATGCAGACGTAAAGTTTGAATTCCGGATTAAATAATGGGGTACTTTTTAACCCGGAAAAATTTGATATTCCCGAGGAAAAACAAAAATATTGGTATAGATGGCGCTGTGTGTATTAGTATATGTCACATAGGCTACTTTTTATCCTTTTGACACGCGAGCGAAGCCGCGGGTAAAAGCTAGTTATGAATAAAAAAATATTCTATTTTATTAATTTATGTTACAGGTACCAAAATCAATGCAAGGTGGTGTACAAGAATTTTGGATGTTCGACGTCGGTGGCCAAAGGGGGGAGAGGAAAAAATGGATACAGGTACCCTTATACCTACTTCTTTACAAAATTTTATTATAGACCTAGCATGAGAGTGCGGGTAACAACGGCAAGTACACACGGCCACACATCAATCTATACAAAACCAGTGTATCCTGGTGTCGCGTCGCATCATATTTCCGCACATTTAACGTTCAGTTTATACTGGTTATGTAAAGCTCGATGTGTAGCCGTGTGTACATATGTGACTTTTTCTCAGTTATATGTACTTTCTAAGATTATTTAGACACCACTGACAAACGGTGAAGGAAAACATCGTGAGGAAACCTCGGCTTATAATTTCTAATTATAAGTTTGTTTTCACCAACCCGTATTGAGCAAGCGTAGTGATGGTGATGAATGCTCAAACCTTCTCCGTGTGAGAAGAGGGGTTTGTTCAGTAGTGGGGATTTATAGGTGTGATGTCTGTGTAGATCACAGTTTGTTTGGCAAATCTCCTTAAAATTAATGTCAAAAATCGATCTCAATAATGTAACTGGGATGATGACAGGGTATGAGAATTAAAAATGTAATTAGTCCGTAAGTTAGATAATGAAAAAATATTAGACACGTATTTTTTTTATTTTGTTGTATAATAAAACAATACTTAGATATAACGAATCAAAGTTAAGGAGTGGGGGCTAAAACGTCATTTCTACGTATAAAATGTACATAGAAGTGACGTCATGTGACATTTCAAATCAATATATATTCGAAAGTATTCGTTTTCTTAAAAAAAATAAAAATACGTGTCTAATGATTTAAAATAATCTACCAGACGGACATAGTCATCTACCCTATTCTATTTTCATCAAATTTTTACAATAAATTGTTTGTTCCTCCAGGTATTCGAAGGTATAAACGCGATCTGGTTTCTGGTGGCATGCAGCGACTTCGACCAGACACTGAGAGAGGACGCCACGCAGAACAGACTCAAAGAAGCTCTGGCACTGTTTGAAGATGTCTGGCAAAGCAGGTACATTCTTGATAATAATTAAAAGGGTTACATTTTTGAGGAGACAAAATTCTTTCTCCTAAGGGCTGATGTTCCAATCAACGGTTAATTTTAATTAATCACGATTTGGCCAGGTCGACCTCGACTAGAGGCGTGAAGTTATGTATGTATGTATGTATACGCCTGTCTCCCATGGGGGTAGGCAGAGACTATGGAACACCAATTGCTACGATTCTTATACAAGGTGTAGTTTTGAAGCCGTGTCATTTCTCAGGGGCATGTCACAGAAACGTTCAATGTAAGAGAAAATTTCGGGCCAATAGTTGAAAATACGGCTATAATAAATCGTTAAAGTTCGACAGTATTTCAGAATAAGCGACAGCAATGTTTCTCATTGGAGTTTTATGGAATTAGGAATAATATCAATTACGTGTTTGAGTTTGTGTGTGTTAAGCCGAGTTATAAAGCTAGTTACAAGACGGCGGCGTGTAGTTCGCACTTACGGATTTCCGTAATTTCAGAAAAATGAAAAATATTTACCTACAATTATTATTAGTTATTTATTTATTATTATTTCATGCATGCTCGTCGGTTAAGGGTACTTTTAATTTGACCCTTTTTTAATATATCGCCAATGTGGTAAGTACCTATATGTTATGTATGTATGTACATACATACTTACATACATAACTTCACGCCTATCTCTCATGGGGGTAGGCCGAGACTATGGAACGCCAATTACTATGATTCCTACATACCTCTTTCGCTTCATCAACAGTCATCAATCTATTCTGTATCATGTATTACCTTATTATTTCCAGGTTCCTCCTGGAAGCCGGTTTAATCCTGTTCTTAAATAAACAAGACCTGCTAGAAAGCAAGGTGGCTCAGGGTCGCAGTATAGCACCCTACTTCCCGAAGTATAATGAGTTTGAAGCTGCCGGCGACGAGTACACAAGGACCAAGCTGTTTATTAGAAGTCTGTTCGTGGTACGTATTGTTTTTTTATTACTGAACCAATACTAAAATACTCTAAGATTTTTGGGGACCGAGTGGGTTTTAAGTCATTGAAACGACTAGGTTATCATGCTAATATATTATGTTTAAACATGTATTTAAGTCGGGCAAACGACTACTGAGTTTTTAAAAAAATCTCAGTAGCAGCACGGAGTCTGGAATTGTGCCCGGTATATTGCAATAGGCTCATCCCCTATTACATGGGACTCATAACATAAATAGTGAAAAGTGGGTGTTACATTGTACTTACAGTGGTATAATGTGCATCTCTGCCTACCCCTTAAGGGAAGGGGGTGAGCCTATTCCCATATACCGGGCACAATTCCAGACTTCGTGCTACTATTGAGAATTTTTTAAAAACCCAGTAATAGTTTGCCCGACCCGGGAATCGAAAACGAGACGCCTTGCCCGGCAGTCGCACTTGCAACCACTCGGACAACGAGGCACGTAACTTAAATAAATTTTAACAAAAGCCAATCTCTTCCAGGATCTAATAACAAAGAAACGTGAACGCCGTGCTTTAGACGCGTCAGCCGAACGGTTCGTTATCGCCGAAGCCAGACGTCCGAGAGAATGTTACTTTCATTTCACAACGGCTACTGATACGGACAACGTACGCACCGTATTCAGAGACGTACATCAAATTATACTGACACATATGCTTAGTAATTTGGGGGTTTACTAATAGATGGCGTTGACTGTCTCTGAAGGTTTCAATGTCAAAGTCAAAGCATTTATTTCAATTAAACCGTAATTTGGTACTTTTGAAACGTCAACAAATACAAAATATGTATATAATAATAAACTGACGGACTGACTGACAGAGTCAGTCCGTCAGTGAAGCTAGGTGCTCATTCCAAAATGTAGATTCGAATGTAGAAGAACGAGCAAGAAATTACATTCGTTACTCTTTTTAAAAAAGTATGTTCTACAATGTCTCCGATACATATTCGTTTAGTGGTCTCATTCAAGCTACCCTAGAAGGTCATTTTAATATAAATAAAGAACAAAAAAGTCTGTCAATTGATGAATTACTGAGAATGGCTTATATAAAGGCAGTCCAACACAGTATTATGTAGTGTTGTTATTTATTTCTGCTTTTAAGCGAAAAAGTATGATTAAGTGTGATAGCTATGCTTCGGTATGAATGGGCCGGCTCGACTGCAGTGATACCACGGTGGAGCAGGAAACCGACGTGAAACAAGTGAGTGACGATACAGGAGGCCCATTTACCCCCCCCCCCCCTTTTCCCCAATATCCCCAATCCCTGATCCTCCAACAATTCTTATATATCTATTATCCCGTTAGGCGTTAACGCCTCTGGTGTTCCGGGTATCCGTGGGCGACGCCGATTGCTTACCATGAGGTAGACGGATCACCACGCTCGTTTACCGGCTTAGCCCATAAAAAAGTCGCGGAGAACCTAACAGGTTACCGGGCTCCGGCTCAACGTGCAGGAGAAGGAACGGGGTGGTTTTTAGTCAGTAAGAGTCTGACACTCCCTCCCGCGTCACCCAGGCGGGAGTAATCATTCAATGATTTTCCCCTCTTAACTCTTTGAGTACCGTCATTATAGACACAATTAACTCGTCGAGTACCGGTTTTATAGACACAATTAAAGAACAATAGGTCGCGGTCACCGGTGACCGCTTGGTCTTTGACAGTTTAAAGAACAATAGGTTGGGGTCACCGGTGTCCTCGCGGTGTTAGACAGTAAAATAAAATAAAAAAGCCCATAAAAAGTTATTTTTTAACGACATAATTCATAAGTTGGTTAACTATTTATGGACACTAAAACACCAGAGGCTTTATAAATGCGTTACCGTTAATTGGATCTCCCTACACTGCCCTCATTCACACGACGAAATATAACTCTTCGATTGTTTCACTATGGTTTCCTGCTCGGCCGTGGTATCACTCCGGTCGAGCCGGCCAACAGTTCCGATTTTCCGAAGCATGGCTCTCTCACACTTAAAACGTAAAATAGTATTTAAAACATAAAAACAATGCTCTTTTAGACCTAAGTATTAATCATTGTTTAGTTTTAGAACTAGAATAATAATAGGTACAATATTATCCAAAAGTATACTGACATATGAACTATAAGTGTCCAAGGTACAAGGAAAAAATATTTCGTTAAAATTTTAACACACACCCACAACTTTTTTATAATCAGCGGTCCAACGATATAAAAAGCGTGACACGCGCGAGGCGACTCATTTCTTAAAATAGGTTTACCACAGATAGTTTTTTAGTTAATATTACGTCAAAATGACTGGTCGCGGCAAAGGCGTAAAAGGTTTAGGAAAAGGAGGCGCTAAACGTCACAGAAAAGTTCTTCGTGATAATATTCAGGGTATTACAAAACCAGCTATCAGAAGGTTAGCGAGACGAGGCGGCGTCAAAAGAATATCTGGATTAATTTATGAAGAAACACGTGGCGTTTTGAAAGTTTTCCTAGAAAACGTAATCCGTGATGCCGTGACCTACACAGAACACGCGAAAAGAAAAACTGTGACAGCTATGGACGTTGTCTATGCGTTGAAGAGACAAGGAAGAACGCTGTACGGTTTTGGCGGGTGAATAATTTTGAGGTTAAATGAAGAAATAAATTAAAGCCGGCTCGACCGCAGTGATACCACGGCCGAGCAGGAAACCGACGTGAAACAACGCTTGCGTTGTGTTTCGTCGCGTGAGTGAGGATACCGGAGACCCATTTACCCATCCCCTCCCCTCTTCCCCAGTATCCCCAATCTCTGTTCCTCCAACAATCCTTAAATTCCTATTACCCCGTTTTTTTTAAGCGGGAAAATCATGGAATGACTGCTCCCGCCTGGGTGCGGCGGGAGGGAGTGTCAGACTCTTACTAACTGACTAAAAACCACCCCGTTCCTTCTAATATTTAAAACATAAAAACAATGCTCTTTTAGACCTAAGTATTAATCATTGTTTAGTTTAAGAACTAGAATTAGTAAAGTGGGTATTTCAAATATAGTTCATATTAACATGTAGGTAGGTTTTATATTTCTGTGTATTGTTATGTGAAACTGAGTATATAATGTTATTTACTTGTATTATGTCATAATTATTAAATTATATTTTAGTAATGAATGGTTGCTTTTTATTTGAAGCTGATTACGTAGATACTTATAACATCATAACGTCACGCCTTTTATCCCCGAAGGGGTAGGCAGTGGTGTACATTATGGCACTTAATGCCACTGTACAATGTAACACCCACTTTTCACTATCTATGTTATGATTCCCATGTAATAGGGGTGTGAGCATATTGCCATTGGGCACAATTTCAGACTCCGTGCTACTACTGAGATTTTTTTTTAAAAACCCAGTAATACTTTGCCCGACCCGATAATCGAACCTGAGACTTTTTGCACTTGTGACCACTCGACTAATGAGATACTTAGGTAGGTACATAAAATGATTTTAAAATAATCTTAAAAAAAAATTGAGATAGATTTAGAGGGTGATTCGAACCCGTGTGTGTTTATTAGTGATGTTAAATCGTTAAAAATGGATACCGGCGGATACGGATGTTTATTTTCTTATTCGATTTAAGGAAGTTTTAGTTATTTCATTGTCATAAAAGTGAAGTTATAACTTTTATAACGAGAATTATAAAGATCTATCTACTTATCTAAATGTTTGCAATATACAGGTGCCAAATATTTGATTTTATAAATACTCTGAATTGAACTTTATAGTTTTTTTTATTTCTACCTGATTACCTGAAAAAGATCCGAGTGAAAAGTAACGGACACGGATTATTCTTTTCCCTAAAATATCCGCGGATACAGATACGGATACGTATATTATATTCGGAACATCACTAGTGTGACAACACAAAAAAAACTACTTACCCACAATAAATAAAACAACAAACCAAAAAAATCAAAACTACCATTTATTCAATAAATCAACATATTTAATTAATAATTTACTTAAATTGAACGTCCACAAGCGATTTCTGTTTCGTCAAATTCAGGTTTTTGCTGCGGCATCCCTTTCGTGGCTTTTATGATACATACTGATGGCTTTCAAGGCTTCTATATTCGCGTGAGTGGCTAATTCTCCAGGTATTATCAGTTTAACTGCAGCCTGGATCTCTCTACTACTCATTGTGGTCTTCTTACTATGAGCAACCAACCTGCCTGCTTCTTCAGCAATCTTCTCCAACATATCGTTAACAAAATTGTTCATAATCAACATTGATTTCCTCGAAATACCCAAGTTTTCCTTCGCCACGGTTCTCAATAATTTGTATAAATATATAGAAAAACTCTGATAGTTCTTTTTCTTCATTTTCTTTGATTTATTTATTGGTTTCTCGATTAATTTCTCTATTGATTTTGCCGCCCTTTTCGGCACTTTGACGGGCGCCATGTTTGATGTTTTACAACTGTCAAATTTTTTTTCTTAATGTCAATTTTGCCGCGATTCTGTGTCGTGTATTAATAGTTTTTTACGCGGTAATAAGTGGTGGGGTGTGGTGATTGATTTATTGAGGTGTTAGCCAATCACTGCTCGACTTCAATTATGATCGTTATTACGTAGGTATTTGTACTTAAATAATAATACAATATTATCCAAAAGTATACTGACATATGAACTATAATAAGTGTCCAAGGTACAAGGAAAAAATATTTCGTTAAAATTTTAACACACACCCACAACTTTTTTATAATCAGCGGTCCAACGATATAAAAAGCGTGACACGCGCGAGGCGACTCATTTCTTAAAATAGGTTTACCACAGATAGTTTTTTAGTTAATATTACGTCAAAATGACTGGTCGCGGCAAAGGCGTAAAAGGTTTAGGAAAAGGAGGCGCTAAACGTCACAGAAAAGTTCTTCGTGATAATATTCAGGGTATTACAAAACCAGCTATCAGAAGGTTAGCGAGACGAGGCGGCGTCAAAAGAATATCTGGATTAATTTATGAAGAAACACGTGGCGTTTTGAAAGTTTTCCTAGAAAACGTAATCCGTGATGCCGTGACCTATACAGAACACGCGAAAAGAAAAACTGTGACAGCTATGGACGTTGTCTATGCGTTGAAGAGACAAGGAAGAACGCTGTACGGTTTTGGCGGGTGAATAATTTTGAGGTTAAATGAAGAAATAAATTATTTTTGTTTTGATTTAGTTACCTTTTTATTTATTGCTGTGACATGGCCCTTCTCAGGGCCGCATCAGATTTTGTTTCTTCTAACAGAAGTCAAAAACGTTTAAAATATTATAACAATAGCCTAATATGTACCTTACCTACTTTGTCTATGATATGATCCTGCAGACCTACACTGCACTTAGATGTATCTTTGTGTAGAATCTAGGTTTATCATTTTTAAATCGGAAATTATTATTTACCTGCATCATTCGGTTATTAACGTAGGTACGAAATATAGGTAATAATTATGTCTAATCGTATCTACACTTCTAAAACAGTCTATGAGTCTGTCTGTATTCTACAGAATCAGAAAGGATACTTTGGAATACTAAGTATTATCCTTTGCATTTTTTCGATAGATTACAAGCATGATATTATATCTGTACCTAGCATTAAAAAAGCTATAAAAGTAGGTGGTATAGAAATAAAGTTATCAATGTATGTGCCTACCCACATAAGGAGATAATTCACTGACTATAAATCTAATATCAATTTAGAATTGCTAACTAATGGAAGATTCCATACTTCGTTATTACAACAACAGTTCCAACAGAGGGTAATCTTACCTCAGCAATTTATAAAATTACCCACAACTTTTAAAATACCAGAACCAAAGCTATATAAAAGAGGCAGAATACTCAATCGGCTTAGTCAATCAATGAGTGTAGAAAAAATACATTCTAGTCAATGAGTAAAATACATTAAAAAAACGACGCATTAACTGTCAACTGTCAAAAATGGCGCGAACGAAGCAAACTGCAAGAAAATCGACCGGTGGGAAGGCTCCACGAAAACAGTTAGCCACAAAGGCAGCTAGGAAAAGCGCTCCAGCCACGGGAGGAGTGAAAAAACCTCACAGATACAGGCCTGGGACTGTCGCTTTACGAGAAATTAGGAGATATCAAAAGAGTACCGAACTCCTGATACGAAAATTACCGTTCCAAAGGTTGGTTAGGGAGATTGCTCAAGATTTCAAAACTGATCTACGGTTTCAAAGTTCAGCTGTCATGGCGTTGCAAGAAGCGAGTGAAGCGTACCTCGTCGGATTGTTTGAAGACACCAATTTATGCGCCATTCACGCTAAAAGGGTTACAATAATGCCCAAAGATATACAATTAGCCCGCAGAGTACGAGGAGAAAGAGCGTGAAGATATAATATTGAAAATATGGCTATATTTTTTACTTTTGACATCCCAGTATTGGGCCAACGAAATTATCTATGACAAAAGCCCTTTTCAGGGCTACAGATTATCTAAGTTTCTGTGGTTGAGTAAGTCAAAAACGATAATTTATTATCTACATTAAAAAAACAGTATTCTTTTTTTTAAATGTACCTCATTCATTTTAAAAAAGAATTATTTGTATGTACTTAAGCGTAAATGATCTTTATGAATAGTAGTTTTATGGTTGATTTTTTAATGGCCACAAGCAATAATAAATCATAGTTAATCCTAAACTGACATCGTTAGCGACTTTGTAGCTATATTAGGTACACATACATTAATATTCGACTGTTAAATAATTTGACGTCGGTAGACCTATATACCGCGGAGAACGTTTAAGGTTACCCGGGCTTCGGCTCCAAGTGCAGGAGTAGGAACGGGGTGGTTTTTAGTCAGTAAGACTCTAACACTTCCTCTCACTTCAACCAGGTAGGAGAAGACATTCGATGATTTTCCCCCCTTGAAAACAAAAAGTACTCCCATGTATGTGCATAAATTATTGTGCAGTTTTGAAACTAAGTAAATACTCATATCATACCACTCCCATTACTGCGTAAAGAGATAGGCAGAAGTATCATGTATGGTTTACAATAAAAATAACCACCAGATTGATTCGGCAAGCGGACTCGGTTTCGATTCCCGTGTCGGTCAAAGTAACGTAAGTAACATCACGCCTTTTACATTACACAACGGCACTGTGCCTACTCCTTCGGGGATAGAGGGCATGATTTTATGTTATGTTATATTGACCCTTTAGTCATTCTAAGAATAGTCCTAGGAATAACCAAATAAAAATGTGTTAATGTGACATCACTACTTTATAAAACAAAGTCGCTATCCGCCCTCTGTCTGTCCCTATGTATGCTTAGATCTTTAAAACTACGCAACGGATAATGATGCGGTTTTTTAAATAGATAGATTGAGAAGAAGAAGGGTTTATATGTATAATACTTGCATATTACACCCGTCCGAAGCCGGGGCTGGTCGCTAGTCATTGATATAATATTCATGTTACAAAAAAAATTAGGCCCATTCCTAATATTTTTTTATTCTTAGCAAATAATACTTAATTTTCACAAAAAGCAATCGCATAAAACGGGCCAACCTCATTGGTCGAACCACGCGACCCTATCACCACCACCCACTACTGGTACAGCTAAAAATACAACATAACAAACCATTCATGTCCAACCAATTGAGCACCAAATTCTATATATTCGTATATAAACTTATAATTTTGTAATATTATGTCTACAAAAACAAGAAAGAACAAGTCGAGATCTTCAAGAGCTGGACTACAGTTTCCAGTTGGAAGAATACACAAGATTTTGCGAAAGGGGAATTATGCCCCTCGAATTGGGAGTGGAGCACCGATATATTTGGCAGCAGCATTAGAATACCTAGCAGCAGAAATTTTAGAACTAGCTGCCGAAGCTGCAACAGATAATCACAAAGCAAGAGTGATACCAAGGCACATACTTTTCGCAGTCAGAAACGATGAAGAACTTAACAAAATGCTATCAGGCGTGACGATATCGCAAGGAGGCGTGATGCCGTCGATAAACCCGATTCTACTTCCGAAGAAGACTGTGAAAAGTGACAGTTGAAGAGGTATGCGTTTTACATTTCCCTGGTGAATGACAAGGTCCTGCGAAGCGATTCTGTAGCACGTCGAATCGATATCGAACTATTTGGAACGTAACGAAGGAAACGCATTTGATTTCGTTTCTGTTGACTGACAACAATTAGTATGAAGTCGCGAGTCTTAAATTACAAATGGACGATCCAAGCGAATCGTCATCGTACCGTCAATTTGGTTCAGTTATCCGATGGTATCTATTGAAAATGTGTGACAGACTGCATTACGCACTATAGAATATGGTCCGGAATAACCAAAAGTGACGGTTTGATCGTCTATTTGTGCATTTACTACGCTTCGATAGAAGGTACTAATTCTTTATAGAAATTAATGTGTGTTTCTTATCAATACAGTTCTGTCGAGCTTCGATATTGATTTATTTTGGTACAGAATCTCTCTACAGGAATGCAATGTTCTTTCTCTTTTTGTTTTTAAAAACCAAAGTCTGTACAAGACGGTTTGTAATTTATTAATTATAGAAATAAATAATTTTAATTCTTGTCTCTTTTTCATTTTTTCCTACTACTTACGTCTTATAAAAGTGGGTGTGCATTGTGTCATCATCATATACAGCCTATAAGTGGCCACTTCTCACACACACCAAAGGCCTCTTCTCACACGGAAAAGTTTTCAGCATTAATCACTACGCTTGCTCAATGCGGGTAGGCAATTTCAAACTTAGAATTAGTAATTGTAAGCCCAGGTTTCCTCACGATATTTTTGTGCAGATAATTGTGCATTGTGTAGCTATAAATAATTTGGTTTTTGAAGGGTAGATATCCATTTTTCTAAGGGTAAATAGTAATGAAATAACGTAGGTACCTGCTATGCTATGTGCTATCGTTGAACATCTATAATACGGTATTATCTTAAAGAATGGAACTTTATAGTTTAGTCGTACTAAATTAAACTGTCAAACACCGAGCGGTCACCGGTGACCGCGACCTATTGTTCTTTAATTGTGTCTATAAAACCGGTACTCGACGAGTTAATTCTTTTAAAAACTACGTTTAAAAAAACCGCCTTCAATCTCCTCTTTTTTCGGGGTCAGTTTAGTAAACTTAACCTTCTCATAGTCGCGGAGAACCTAACGGGTAACCGGGGCTCCGGCTCGACGTGCAGCAGAAGGAACGGGGTGGTTTTTAGTCAGTAAGAGTCTGACACTCCCTCCCGCCTCACCCAGGCGGGAGCAGTCATTTGATAAATTTCCCCCTTAAAAAAAACCTTCTCCTAAGTATAATAAACACTTTTCTAAAAACTGCATCAAAATTGGTTAAGCCAATAGCGAGATAATTGCGCACAAACATGCATACAACTCAATTATTCAATTTATTCAATCTTAACTTTGAGGGTAACTGAAAAAAGTCATATAGCTGTGCTTTTCGAGGGTAAATGAAAAAAACAAGAACACGATATTCTCCTGTATCATGAGTGTATTTACAAAAAAAAACATACAAATTCACATACACATGACACCCAGGCTGGGTGACCCAGACCAGAACCAACAATTTGTGGATCACACAAACATTTACTCCGAATTGAACCCTCTACAAAATTGCGCAACTTATAGCGGGTGTGTTTGTCGAAGAAATTGTCGGTCCTTAGAAGCCTGGGCACGGGCCCCGAGTGCCTTTATGATAAAGATGTAACTGCCTACGAAGTGCTTAGGGCCGTCTTTTGAGAGTACCTATGTATATACCGTTTTTTTTTGAGGGGGGAAATTCATCAAATGACTGCTCCCGCCTGGGTGAGGCGGGAGGGAGTGTCAGACTCTTACTGACTAAAAACCACCCCGTTCCTACTCCTGCACTTCGAGCCGGAGCCCCGGTAACCCGTTAAGTCTTACGCGACTCCGACCTATGTATATACCTACATTTATGTATTGCAACAACAAATTCTATTTGCCATTGTTATCAAAACCGGATATTTTAAAAGCTATGGTATCTAATCTTGATGTTTTCGCTCGCCGAGTAGACACCTGACTATCTGCTCCCCTGTTTGTTGTGGGACCTTTTAGTACAATTTATTTAAGCTATCGGACACCAGCACTATTAACAATTTAAACGGTAATAAGAAATTTATTAAAACTTTAGTGAATTGCTGCCAGTCTTTTGGGCACCACGATAGCGATGAAGAAAAATTTTTTATGGCATAGGGTAATGACATCAAAAAATTGACGTCAGTGGGGATAGTACCCAGAAGGCTGGCAGCATTGCCACGTTGTATGGCAATGCTTAACCTCTGACCGAGAAAAAGACCAGCCCCCTGGTCACGAGATGTGTCAACCAGGCGTTTTGAAATGTTTTTGAATAATTTAAGCACTCGGACCCCACGGTTCTAGTGTATCAACCCAAAACGGCTCAAAGATATAACTACCAGCAAGGTTGTTATACTTGCGCCGCTTGAGGTTTTCTGCAGAGGCAGCAGCCGAACCAGCACAACCCGCCGTTACTGGAAGATGAGAAGGTGCAAGGGTGTCGACGCAGGTTGCGTCCCACACCAAAGACCTTCTCAGCTTCCAGGGCATAATGGACATACCGTCGGGTCTCTTACCATCGTCGCGTGCGAAACCCTTTGGTTCCAGAACAGCTGGCACACCGGCGATGATAAGAGCTCGGCGGATAATGTCGTTAATGCTGGCGTGTCGAGCTATCCGGCCCGCGCTTCTGCTACACGATACGCCGTGGTGGCCGAGGTGGTCGACCATCTCACCGCATTGACAGCGATGCGGAGAAACACAGGGTGCACCTACACGCAAGCAAGCTAATTAATTTTAGTTAATTGTATTTATGATATTATTATTACTTAGTTCTTATTATTTGTTCTAGTATTTATTATGTTTCAATATCTAACTAGATTTTATGCATTATCATTCACAATGCTAGTTCATACATAATTCTAACAAAAACCACATAATTCCTATCTGAAGGTCAACATAATAATACATATATCTAGGTGTAGGTACCTTTATTATCGATTTGAGCGCGGATCACATAATGTCAATGTGATACGGGCGAGGGGCGCACACGCATGCAGGAGTTCACAACATTGTCTTGATACGCACTCGTTTTCACACGACTGTTAAAATTAAATAATGAAAATGAAACGTGATGATCGAAACTGTATTTTATTTTACTACGAAAAGGTATGTAGATTCGAATTCGAGAAAAAAATAAACAAAAAAAAAATTGATTGGAAAAATTTTGTCTTATTTAGTACCTCTACTATCTACTCCCGCTATCTGTCACCTGCTTCTATTTATTGATTTGAGCATTAATCACCACGCTTGCTCAATAGAGGTTGGCGATTACAAACTTATAATTACAAATTATAAGCCCAGGTTTCCTCACGATGTTTTCCTTCACAGTTTGTCAGTGGTGTCTAGATAATCTTAGAAAGTACATATAACTCGGAAAAAGTCACATTGGTACTTGCCGTTGGTAGGTTTTGAGCTCGCACCCTCATACATGAGAAGCGGGCGTCTTCCCGTATATCTCCAAGCGGTCACCGGTAACGGCTCTCCAATGACTACATTATAGACCTTAATTCCAATGTTTAGAGACTACTTTTGTATGAACAAATTTAGGGGATGATGTTCAACAGGTTCAACAACACTACACCACGAATCTACAGTACATACCTATAACCATAAAAACACCGGCACAAAATACCAACACACCAAAGGTTGTGTACCTCATCTTGCAGCTGTGAGCCTACCAGCTGCCATCGACCGTTACACGGCACGGCACGTGCTGCCCTCGTCTCGAGCCACGTAATAACAATAATTATACAATAGAAAGTGGGATCAGCAGGACTCTTACGGGACAGCAAAATATTATGAAGAATTTCGTGAACTTATGTTTTATAGAAACTAAAAGTGGACAATAAGCGTATGAATTGGATTAATTTGGTATTCAAAATAATTTTGAATTCACTTTCTCATTGAATTGAAACTTTTTTTAAATAATTTAAAAAAGGGCTATGAAAAACGTTCATGAAAATAACGCACATGAAACACTAGACGTAAATTTGTAAGCACTATTTGCATCGCACGTGCCACCCGACGAGAAATACCTCTTCGAGAATTACATGGCGTGATGTTTTGATAATGTAGGTACTATGAGTTCGTATGCGCTTTCGAAGTTTGCTTATTGTAATGGTTCACCAGTTATTGTTTGTTTTAAACATTTTAATTCTTTGTAAAACTATTGTATTACCGAGACAGAATCATTTTACTTCGAGACGAAAACGAAAATAAATACATAAGAAGTGTATTACATAAAGACGTTTTAATGAGAAATCGTTTTAATACAAACGAAGATAACAGTACCAGCACCTACCTGATTAATATTATAGTGGATCTTATAATATGGCGTGAAACTAGTCGAGTTCCCCGTCAAACAGTTACTTGAGTTAGCCGAAAAACACAATTGTGTACTCGCCAAATTCAATACTTTTTTCGAACTGTCAAAAGCGAGAGTTTTCTATGAATTTTGTACGAGATTGTGTATTGTGACGTCACGTTTTTATAGCGTCAAACAGCATACTTATTTGTTAATTTGCTGGCAAAATATTAAAATTAAGTCGGTCATAAAATCAATTAATGAAAGTGTGATTATTTTTTTATATTTTGACGTATTGAACAGTCGAAATAATTTGGTAAGTACCCAATTATTAATGAAGATGTACCTAGTTAAACTGTCAAACACCAAGCGGTCACCGGTGACCGCGACCTATTGTTCTTTAATTGTGTCTATAAAACCGGTACTCGACGAGTTAAAACGCTATAGGTATTTTATAGTCTAAGTAATAGCTGTCAGAAAAAAAATATATCTGACTAAACCGACTGTCCAAAACCGGGGAGTTCCACGACCCTTGGACCTTTGTTGAAAGCTCATTCAATAATTGCACAAGGTAACATCTAAAATTTCTATTCAAATATCTCTTCTTTCCAATTTCTTCTCTATTTCCTGTTAAATAGGGTACAATATCCAATAAACGGTTTATCTTTTGTATAAACATTCAATTAAAAGTGACTATTAACGTATTTTGAACTTTAACTCTAAAAGTATAGGGTTTATTTTCAATTTGTTAGACCTATTTGAATTTGGAATTCAAACAGCGCGTGCCTGTTTGCAGGGGTGCGCGGACGCCGTTTCCGACCCCGGTGTTTTTTTGAAAAAGGAATAATTTTACAGTTGACGGTTAAACGTCGAACTGGAAAGACGTGTGTATTTTAAGAATTTAATATATAATTACTATTTTATACTTATTATAAGTTGTAGTGTTAGTTTCTAAAGTGCTTTCAAAGTGAAAAGTAAAATAAAAATACCAAACAATTTGGTTAAAACCTGTACAAAACCCAAAATACTTTAAGAAACATTTTTAGATTTTAGTTCTTCGTGTTTAAAATTAGTTAAAAAAGCATTGCTTAACAAAATTGTTTAAAACCTAGTGTTTAAGTGACTAAGTGTAAGAAAATCAGTCGAGTCTAACGGTTCCGGTGCAAGAACACCCCTTTAGAAGACAGGAATCATGCTATAACGACTATTTAAGTACTTATAATCAACCCGGGGAAGTACTACGCTTAAAAAAACAATGGATTCACCGAAAATCGTGTACAAATATTACACAAATCAGGCGTTTTGTCCACAAAGCGAATCGGCATACGCTCAGCAAAAATGCAAAACGAGAATTGTTTCGCCAGAGAGACAACGCATGCCGCCTTTAGGCGCAAACTCCCCAAGAAAGGTAGAAGTAAACAACAGGATTTTAAGAACAGATATATCTGATAATCCTTTGCGCATGTCTCCAGCTGGAGCTCCAAGGTACAGAGATGATGAGCCACCAGAACTACCACCAAAACCTGCCAAATTTCTTAACAGAAGCTTCCAGCGTCAGTCTTCTTTAGTTTACAAACCTACCCGATCAGTTCGTTGCAGGACAAGAAGTGAGGACCTCGAAATGGCCCAATTAAAACAGCAGAGACTATCTAGATATGACAGACGAGCAGACAGTGATGATGGACTCGAAGATAGCAGGACAAAACATAGGTACGAAGTCATACAAGATATCGACGATATAGTTGATTATTCGCCTACAAAAAAGCGCATAGTGCAAGCGAAAGCTGACGAAATAGATGAATACAATGTCGACGGACCAGACGAGAACGAACTGAAGGAAATACCGACGGAAATTGTCAAAACTGTCAATGGGAGAACGCTGAGATACGCTATAATACCATCTGAGGATGAGGAGCCGCGGAAAATGAATGTGACGTTCACATCACCAGTAATGTCAAAAAAGAATTTGATTGCGACGCAAAAGCTTCACGAGCTGCTGTCAACGCCTAGGAAATTAAAGAGCTATGCCAGCCAGCCTTCAGTTAGAATAACGCCGAATAAATCTGTAGAAAATAGGTATTCTGAGACGCCTAGAAAGTTTGCTGCAAGCACTCCTACGCAAGGTGTGACGCCGTCTAAGTCGTGTGCAAATCTGACATCAAGGACGAGTGTTCCAACTTCTCCTATCTCCCCTAAAGCTCAACAGAAACTAAACTACGGTCTACCTGAACATCTAGCTGAAAATCAGCCGTCTTTTGACAGGCACGATGTCTTCGTGACTAGTTTCAGAGAGAAGAGAGACAGGAGTTTCGAATTGGAGAGGGAGTTGAGTAGAGAAAAGCGGGATTATGACAAGAGAAGAGAAAGCCAGAGAAAGGATAAAAATACCGCTGTTATTATACCCAGGTATGTTGTTGTAACTGTTTACTATGTATATCATAACATAACGTAACGTAACTTCGCGCTTTTCATCCCTAAAGGAGTAGGCAGAGGTGCACATTATGGCACTTAATGCCACTGTACAATGTAACACCCACTTTCCACTATTTTATGTTATATCAAGTCAAAGTCAAAGCATTTATTTCAATTAAACCATAATTTGGTACTTTTGAAACGTCAACAAATACAAAATAAATAATAGTCTGTCAGTCAGTCCGTCAGTAAAGTTAGCTAGGTTAGGTTCTATACCTATGTATGTATATCATCATGCTTGTTATTTGCCTAAGAGAAATGAGCAGAATTAGATACAGTTTCCATTACCCCACTAAGTTTTCGGTGTATGTGCTACTACTATGAATTACAAATCGTAAACACTTCGTACATATTAGACAAGTTAAGTAGTACTAATGCAGCTCGGCTATTCTGTAAGATGTTATTTTAAACTACCGAAGTGCGCTCGACCGCGGACTGCCATGTCGTTGATTGTGGCATTAAGTGTCGTAATGTATGTGTGTGTGTGTGTGTGTGTTATATGTTATTTTCTTATCTATAAGCTAAGTAACTTGGTCACTGCACTTGCTTTGTCTAATGCATTTATGTAAAGCAATGTAGCTAATTGCCAACTTATTGCTAATCAATCCTTTGTAGGTACTTACCTAACGTAATATTGTTTTTTGTTTTTACATTTAAAGCAGTCTAACATTACGTTAAGATAAATAGAGATTAAAAAACACAATATTAAACTGTCAAACACCGCGTGGTCACCGGTAACCGCAACCTATTGTTCTTTAATTGTGTCTATAATGACGGTACTCAATGAGTTAATTTACCTAAAAAAATATCTTGGCAAAATAAGAAACGAAAGCATATGCATCCCCATCATATACATATTATAGATGGTTGGCAGGCCACAACTGTGCGCTTCTCACGTAGCTTTCTGCCTCGCACAGCAAAACTGTGGAATGATCTGTCGTCGGTGGTATTTCCGAACCGATACGACCTTCAAAACTTCAAGAAAAGGGCGTATTCCTTTTAAAAGGCCGGCAACGCACCTGTGGCTCCTCTGGTGTTGCGGGTGTCCAAGGGCGGCGGTGGTCGTTTACCATGAGGTGATCCGTCAGCTCGTTTGCCTTCTATTCCATCTAAAAAAACCAACTCAATATTAGGAAATCGGTTAAAAAGCGGATGAATGACATTCTCCAAATCAAATCACGGAGATACGCAGCTGTTTCACACGTGTGTGAAAAATATAGATCGTTTTTTTATGCATTTTTGACGCTATCCCGCCGAAATCGCCATGACACCAAAACATTAATCGAGGGGATTCTAGCAGTTTTGTATGAGATATGAAAGCACCGAAATTCAAAAGAAATACACGTTAAAATATATATATGTAGCTTAAATATTTTAAGCTTTTCATGCTTAGATTTTCTTTTGTTGTTTTTTAGCCATTTGTTATTTAGCCAATTGACTAGTAGCGGTTCGCTCCTAATCAGGTACATGTGACGCATAACCGGCATAAAACTACTGATGAAAAGTAAATATTTCATTATTTCGCTAATTCTTTCGTATGCCTAGGTGCATATAAGAACAAAGTTATTAATAATATTATCTACATCCGTATCTAAATAAGTCTAGGTGGAATAACGATGTTCGTGATGTCATTGTGGTGTGGCTAGCTGTGATGGAAAGCTAAAGATTGCCCTCATTACGTGGTACTGCAAGAGTACAGACGATACTTATTGTAAATATAACCTAATTGAAATATTATAGTATATTTACAACACAAAATTCAACGTTTTTAAACGAAAATAACCGCGTTACTTTGTGCATATAATATGTCCTGACAAAATTACAATAGCAATTCTTTAAATACACCGATTATTTTGCTAATTGATTAGGCGCTTTAATAATTGTTCAATATTAACGTTTTTAGTCTATTATTTTAATAATTTATTAATTATGATTATTGGATTGGTAATTATTAATGTAAAATATCTAATTAATATTTATACTCACTGAATGTTAAAAAACAAAGCTGTACAATTTTAGTGTAGCATTCTTGCATCGTAAAGCTGCTTTTCAGTGGTAACTTGGCGACTGCCGAATTCTTTTTTTTTATAACGTTACCCCACACTAGGATTTTCTTCTGTGTCGTGGGTGTGTTTACAAATATATAATTTCACATACACATGACACCCAGATCCGGAAAAACAATATGTGAATCGCACAAAGAGGTGTTCCGTGCGGGAATCGAACCCGCGACACGTTGTCCAGCCTCCGCGCGAACCGTGTAGTCACATAAAAGTTTTTGATTTTTGGAAAATCCTCAGTGAGTAATAACAGTTTGCACTCGAACCCGGTGTACTTACGCATGGCAGTAGACTCAGCTGCTATTGCATAACATGGTGCTCTTTATCTGTGGCAGAAGGCTGTTATATTGTATGCGTGCCTACCCCATCGTGCGTAAAAGCGTAACGATGTGTTACATTATGTTTAAAAGATTAAATAGACATATTTAAAGTGAAACATTTTTATTTTCCTGACTAAAACATTATAATAATTATTTATTATAAACCATTTTGTTACTTAAAAAGCCTAAGGGCCTAACAGAATGTATTCTGTATAGCTGCTACTATCTGGCTCTGCCACATAACTTTACCGGGTCCTTTTATGAAGATGTCGAACCAGGCGCTAAAACTAACATAATTGTCATCTTTTTATTGTATTTTTCAGAGTGGCAGCGCCCCCTTCAGTGTATTCCGAAGAGACGTACAAATCGTTTTCAAGCATTAAAACTATATCAGGAGCTACCGCCTCCTTGCTGATCGCAGCTGTGATGCTGACTATGTGCGGAGGATTGACAACAGGGCTGAGTTTCTACATGATGTATGCTGTAAGTAACATATTAAGTAATTCTACCAAAATAATTTAATGTAAAAAAAATGCCAACCCCTCGATGCAGTCTATCCATCGTAAAAAGCTTTGAGATCTCATCTCACTAGTATGATATTGTTTTCTAAGAAAACAGCCGCGAATCGCTTCGAGAAAAGATAATACGGCCGTGCCCGTTTTGCTCGAGACTTAGCTCAGACACTGCCGTGCCATCTTTTTAATGTTAAATCAATCGCATCTACAGCTTATAAGAGGCCACTGCGGAAAAAAAAGTCACATTGATACTTACCGTTGGTAGGTTTGGAACCCACACTCTCATGCATGCATGAGAAGCGGGCGTCATAAATCCCCGCGCCACCACAATATCTAGATATTGTGGTGGCGCGTAATACATTCTAATGTCTAGACATTAGAATGTATTTTAACAACTAAGGGGGAATGACTAACAATGAAGGGTATAACCTGGATGTCTTCAAATCCCGAGTGAATAGGTTGCTTATGGGACGACGTCGTAGGCCGCATGACTACTTACCACCAGGCGAAATAGTGGTCAAACGTCAGTTCCCCATCTAATGTAAAAAAAAAGTAGATGAGCAATGTCTTTATCTACCAACACTTTGCTATTTCAGATTGGCAGGCGCTACTATTTGGACTTCGGCGTGCTGGCTGGTTTCACGTGTTTCCTTCTAGGACTACTCGGCTTAAGATCACGAAGACAACAGTTATTACCAAATAGAAATTATATTTCAGGTGAGTAGATTTATAATGGTTCTTAAACCGTTTACAAAAATATATAAATAATTAAGTTAATTTAAATCAAACACCATTTGTTGTACAGTTAGTGTTTAAAAGTTGTTGAACAATATTTTAAATTCATTTGACCACTTTTTGAAAGTAGAACTGTAGAAAAGAAATTGAACATACCTATATAGGTACTGAATAGTACCTACTTAAAATATTTGATTAAATCTCGTATTATTAAGGTTTTAAGGAATGTTTATTAATATTAACCTCTTTGTTTGTATTATTTCTAATACGTTACTGTACAGAAATTCACAGAAATAATAAAAATTGTTTAGGAAACGACTTAAATCAACACATTGCTATCACCTATCTATCAGGCGCCAATAACCAAATAACTAATCTATATTTTTGTTTTTCCAGGCTACATCGTGTTATCTTCATTCTCACTCCTCAGCGCCTTTGGTCTCCTTATTCTCCTGTCAATGGAACCCAAGCCAGGGACGCCACTGAATGACATAACATCAGGAGCGGTCTGTGGTTTCAGTATTCTGTCACTATGCCTTGCGTCTATTGGTGTTCTAGCGTCATACTGTTGTGTCAAAGATCCACCTGATAATCGAGTGGGGTCTACTAGGTGGTATTGAATTAATTATCTGTGGTTATGTTAGGGATTTTTGACATTAAAGACAAGTGTTAATCTAATAAGAGATGATGGGGCGATAAACGGTGATAATAGAAGGAGACATGTTTGTATTAGGAACATATTTTTATACATCGATGTTAGCGACACTATTTTAACTCGTTTAAAATGTCCCTATGTCTGTTCTCTGAAGGAAAAGACTATACTAAGTATTTTGCGAGTGCAAACGAGTGCCTATATTAATGTAAATGACAACAATCGCCAGAAAACAAAATTGCTATGGTGTATTGTGGAGGCGCAGTGTCTGTATTTTTTTATAACGATATTCCGTTGAATTGTATACAAAATTAGTATTTATTTTTTTTATATTTTCTAATATTGCTAATATTCAATTAATATAATTTTCTTGGTTCTGAATTTGAACTTTGATGTTTGTTTTCTTTAATTATTTGGCGAACTATAAGTACTTAATTAGAATAATGATTACTTATTACGAAAATACCAAAGTTGGACATAATTTGAGATTGATTGTACTTTTTTTAATATTTCTATAAATTGTTGTAAAATTTTAAATAAATCTGGATTACTATTATACGTTATGTGTGTTATTTATAAAACTGTTTGTACTTGTCCTATATATATTTGATACCTTTTATCCAATAAATCAAATAATTGATACTGAACACTTTAGTGATTTCATTCCTATCTTCTCTGATATCATCTCTAATTGAGATTTTATTCACACTAAATATCAGTGTATATTGAATTATGTAGGTATATGAATGACGATAAAAGTAATAGGTGCAAAAAATAACACACAAATATGTAAACACATAGAGAAGATAGAGAAGTTGCTAGACGCACCGAAAATGCCCGGAAGAGCTATTGGTCCATGAAATACCTAATGAAAGGTAATCTTCAAATAATGTTCAAAAAGAAACTCAGAGGCATGTGCATTCTGCCCATCCTCAATGGCTCTCAAACTTAGTCTTTGACAGAACATCAGAACTCTAAACTCAAGGTTTGCCAGCGGGCCATGCAGCGCTGTATCTTAGGAGTCCGACTATCGAACAGAATTAGAACCACCCCGCTGCCCTCCACGACTAAAATTGTTGACGTTGGTCATAAAGCCGCAGGCTTGAAGTGGAACTGGGCTGGTCAGACGAGCGGTGGCCAAAACTTACTACTGAGTGGAGCCCACTCAATGTCAATAGACGTCGCGGCAGGCCCAAAAGGAGATGGCGGGACGAATTGGAAATTGATGACAAGGACGGGCCGCAAAAAGCTTTACATAGAGAGGAGTGGAAGGAAGGTAGGAAGGCCTCTGTTCCTGCAGTGGGACTATCGTAGCTAAAAGTAAATAAATAAACGTACCTATACAAATTTTCATGCCAGATTTGTCTACAATTTTCGTCCAAGTATCCCAATTTTCACCTCTTAAAACCAGGTCAATTTTTTTATGTGTGTCATTACCATTCACGGGACCACAAAGTCCCGGTCATTTGGGAGGCGTACGAGGGGTCAAAGCTAACTATGCAGAGGCCCTTTAGAAAACTTTAATCTATAATGGACACACAAACCGGCGACTATCCCTGTATACGCTGTCGCGGAGAACCTAACAAGTTACCGGGCTCCGGCTCGATATGCAGGAGTAGGAACGGGGTGGTTTTTAGTCAGTAAGAGTCTGACAATCCCTCCCGCCTCACTCAGGCGGCAGAAGATATTCGATGATTTTCCCTCCTTAAAAAAAATCCCTGTATACGCTGTGGAAATGCACGCCAAAGACAGTCTCCAAACCAGATAAATGCATATGGTAATGACTAATTCAACCGAATCTAGCGAAGAATGTTGAATAAGTACCAAAAAATATTTAGCAACTTAATTTAGCATCGCCGTTGCTACATTGATGTTTCTAAATATAAATTATTATTGCAACGGCCTTAGAGTATTTAACCAATATTCTAAGGCAACGACAAGCTGTGACTTCTCAAATAAAACGTAAATTTCGAGGACAAATGCTTTATTTTATTTGATTTAGTAATAACATCATAGTCATGGTCAGTTTAGTTGCGTCATTATTTTAACATTGCAAAATAAAAACATGTTCTAGTAGGTATTTGGTATGTATGTCGTCAGTCGGCACATAGACTTAACAGAAACTCTGTGATAGTAATTTGTTGTTTAAAATGATCACTGACGTTGTTAAGTATGTCTACTCAATAAAGAACTCAGGAAAATTAATAAATCACGGAAAAAATCAGGCACATTATTATTTTTTTCACACCGTTCCATAGTACGGATCGTGTCAATTTAATATAATTCTGTTTTTATGTACAAATGATTACCTACATGAAATAACTAAGATATTTTTATTATTCAAATATGTTTATATAAATTATTATTTAGATCGACTGCCTTTGACTAAAATAATACTACTATTTACACAATCTGGTAAAACGGAACGTTTAAGTAATTGTCAAACTATGCGTCAACTTAAAACGTTCCATACTTATATGTAACAGAATCACAAACATTTAGATGTTGCTATCCTTGTTTAATACACGTTAATTCGTATTAAGCTATCCTGCTGTCCTCAAACCTGGAACGTGCTGTCGTATTATTCATCTCGACTGTGATTTCTACTCAGCTTTTGTGTTAATTTGATAACAATTGAACTGTTTGATAACAATTTTCTAATTGCTATAACTATGAAACGAGATGTAGCTTACTAATAACATCATCTAGCCTGACAGCTGCATTTATATGTCAACGCCCAGCGAGTGATGCATTTCGTAATTTAAGTTTAAAAGTGTTGTTTGATAGTACAAAACAAGTAAGTCTTTGTTGTATTACGTTTTTTTTTATTAGGACCAATATGTGTCACCGTTGCCTGGTCTTGTGGTATCGTTAAAAATAAGTGATATTGTTTTTGGACGTAAACAAAGTGATTTTTAGTTGAAAATTGAAGATTTTTACGTGAAGGTCGATTTAAGGTAAGAAAACATATTTTTGTACGTAACCATCTGTTATTTTTTGTTTATTTGAGCTATTAAATGTTGGTTGTTATCAATGTAATAGTAATAATTAACTGTGATTGAGATAAAACAGTTAAAACAGACCTACATTTGGTGTTGGTCTAATTTCCTTATCAATTATAATTAGTAGAATGCAGAATTGGCATAGTTACTGAGTTTACCATATCAAGAAGTATTCTGCAATGCATTTGACTTCCTTGTTGTGAGTTTCAATTAATTCTTTTGTTAGAAAAATCACTAATTTTATTTAACTTTTTGGTATTTTTTGTCTGTGGTTCAGCATGAAACCTCTTTAGTTGAATACAGCCTTGTATATTAGTTATTTTTTAATTAAAATTTGTTCTTTGTTTGTTTACAAAATTAATCTTCATATTTTTTTATTTAATCTAAGCCTAAATACCTCATAAGTACCTCATATTTCTGTGTAAATTATGATTTATGAGCTACAATTTGACAAATTTGTATTTTACATAATTTTGCAATGCAATAGAATATTTACAACATTTTGGTAACTGTCATTTAAAGAAAGAAAACATTCAAAATATTTAAATAGATAGCGACTATGGTCTATGGGACCAAAGTGCAAATAGCTCAGAATGAGAACAATAGCTCAGTATGAGGTTTGATGCTCAGGTAGCAAAGTATTATTATTGGCTGGGATTAACAATGAACAGTCCTGTACCTACCCTTTTAGAGGATTAAAAAACTGAGTGATTTTCACCCAGTTTATATGTTGTATATGAGATAAATTTTCAGAAATATTCTTGATATCTTAGGAAAGTCTTTACAAAATTATAATAATCTACATTGCTTAGATGAATGAAAAACAGACCGAAATTCTTAATATGTAGGTATATCGTACTGAACATTTATTTATAACTAGTGAAATTATGGGCAGAATTTAGTCCATTAATAAAATGTATTCAATTAATTGAATTCATATTATTTCCTTAAAATCTCTGATTCTTATGCAGCTAAATACTATTATTAGTCCTTGAAAACAGTTTTCTATTGGCAGTCAAGGGCTTAAGCAATATAAGGAGTTTTTTGGTAGTTTTTTCACACATCTGGTTACATTATCGAAATTTTCAAAGGGTTTCGTTTTCTTTGCTCTTGTTAAATATAGCCTATGATCATCATCGATTATGTAGGATTCCAACGGTAAAAGAATTTTTCATATCGGCCCCGTAGTTTCGGAGGAATTCAAACAAACAAACAAAAAATCAAATCTTTCCTCTTTATACTATTAGTGTAGATTGGTGTAGACTTCAAAAGTAGTCTCTAAACATTGGAAATAAGGTCTATAATGAAGTTAATGGAGAGTGGTCACCGGGGACCGCTTAGGGATTGAGTAATTAATGTAGCAGGTATATTGGCACAAAAAATATAAACAAAACATGTTGCTAATTGCCAAACTGACTACTTTACGTTAGTTCTACTGATCTACCTAAATATTTTTAATTGAAGTCGAAAGAAAATTCATAAAGACAAAATATTAAAAAAAGTAATAAAAAAAATAAGAAATCAAAAAATTAATCTTTGAATATTTTATTTCAGTAATTTTTTTTTTATTCATTTATATTCATACCAAAAAGTTTCATATTCATATTATTATCAAATGAAAATATATACAACTTAAAATGTAAATAACTATGAACTAAAATATTTACACCTTAAAAAACTCTTTGTTAAAAAAATCATTTGAATGAAAGTGAATGATACAAAAGGTATTCCAAAGTACTAGATAATAACTGTTGGTAATTAAATATAAAGTTGCTATCAATATTATTGACAAATATTGTTTGTGTCAGCCACATTGGTTCCGAGATAACAAGAATTGCTCATAATAATTGTTGTACCTAACACTTGGGAGCACATACATGTCGTGGAGAACCTAACGGGTAACCGGGGCTCCGGCTACCCGTTAGGTTCGGGGGTAGGGGCTCCGGCCGGCAGTAGAAGGAATGGGGTGGTTTTTAGTCAGTAAGAGTCTGACACTCCCTCCCGCCTCACCCAGGCGGGAGAAGTCATTCGATGATTTTCCGCCCTTAAAAAAAAATACATGAAGCCACTAATATTACTATAAGTTACTTTAAGGGAATCATCCATAAATTACGTCACACGAATTTCATGACTTTTTGCCCCTCCCCCTGTCCTTGTCACAGCTAGTCACATTTGTGAGACCCCCCCTAGTATGACGTCACATTTTACAGAATTACATACTTATGTATAAAAATGAAAACAGCGGTTCCGAAATCACTTTTATTTCTATTTAAATTACTTTAAAAAAATAGTAATACCAAATCAAACAAAATAAAAAACATTAATACAATTATATTTCGTGTTTTATGGTTGTTGGTGGTGTTTAGTCAGTAAGAGTCTGACACTCTCTCTCGCGTCACTCAGGCGGGAGAAGTCATTCGATGATTTTCCCCCCTTAAAAAAACAAAACTATGATCTGGCGCCCTAGGTACTTGACACACGAGCCTCTAGCATGGCTTGAAACTAGTCGAGTTCCTCGTCAAATAATTACGTGAGTAAGCCGAAAAACATACTATTTAATCATGATGTCTCACGAAAGTTATGATATAAATATAGTTTAAGTATACTAGTAAACTCAGTAAACATGCCGTCACAAACGCCTGATAATCCCTGAAATAGGCACAGGTGTGCATTTTTATCGTTATTATTATCTTTTATCGTTCATAACTGGTGACTAAGGGACTGACAGACAATGCATAACCGAAATTAGATACTATTTGTAGATAGCATTTGAGATAAGTCGTAGTCGTAATACATACGTTGTCCCACACTAGGATTTTCTTTTATGTCGTGGGTACGTTGAGTTGACAAACATACAGGTTCACATACACATGACACCCAGACCTGGGTGCTACTCTTGAAACTAATCTCAATGTCAATGTAATTTCAATCCAATAAAATCTCAATAATTATTCAATGTCAAAACTATACAACCGCAATCGCAGCTGTTAATATAGCATTTAGAGTAAGGGATATAAAATCAAACTTAATACCATTTAGTTCATTCATTATCCACGCAATACGAATGCAATGGGCGCTAGTGTTGAGACTCAAGAGTACGAAATTTTGCAATACCAATGTCGATCGATCGGTATTGGATTCAAGAGTAAGCCACCTGAAACGACAATTTGTGGAGCACACAAAGAGTTACTCCGTGCCCAGTAGCCGGTTGCCCAGCCACCGCGCCAACCATGCAGTCTTCTGCAATTGTCTAGGGAATGAGATAAAACATGAATTTTTAAATATAATATTTTTATCTGCACATAATTTTTATCTGCACAGTTGGTGCAGTGGCTGGGCAGCCGTCAACTATAACGCACCCAAGACACAGGACAAAAGTCCTTGAAAAAAGAAAAATATGTTAAAGTACGTTACGTACCCCCGCGAACTTTTTTTGGCTTTGGAATTTTACCAGCGCATCTGCTATTCTTTTTATTTTTTTTCTTACAAATAAAACAAAAATAAATTATTCACATTGGTTCAGCTGTTTTCGAGATTTGCGCTTAGTAAGACATTCATTTTGATTTTATAGACTACTAGCCTTGCCCGCGACATTGCCGGCTTTCCCGTGGGATAAAAAGTACCCTATATGTTATTCCAGACTATACCCCTTTTCCAAATTTCATCCCTATCCCTTTTGCCGTCATCGTAAGCACGACTCTGCGGACGGCGAGCATGGGTGGCTCCCTGTTCGACCAGAACCAGGCCCGAGCGTACGGCGCGTCACGTTCCGCACGCCTCAAAGAGCCATCAGACCACCACGGATGGGGCCCAACAGGGCTGATGCTGATTCGGAGTCGCAGAGAACCTAACGGGTTACCGGGGCTCCGGCTCGACGTGCAGGAGAAGGAACGGGGTGGTTTTTAGTCAGTAAGAGTCTGACACTCCCTTCCGCCTCACCCAGGCGGGAGCAGTCATTCGATGATTTGCCCCCCTTAAAAAAATATCTTTACCCGTTTCGACATGATTGAGCATCAAACATAAACACACAAGTTTTAATATGTTTTATGTTTTTTTTATTTGCATTCACAGCCATTCAGAGTCAATAATAAATTAATTTAACACTTTAGTTAATCTATTTGTTAATGATAGTTAAATGTTTATTAATTGTTAATTGCTATTAACATTCGTTGTCACAACAATACAAAGGACGTTATGATAAGGCGAATTGATACTTATTTTACATGGTTGATATTTGCTTTTTGTTTGGACAAACTCGTTTGTTTATTAAATTTGTTCTTAAACTATTACTATAGAATTTAAGCAGCCTTTACCTAATTCATCTAAGTATTGCTACTTAATACGAGAAAATAAAATAATAGACTTTTCATTATCTAACTGACGCATGACGGACTTATTAGATTTTAAATTTGCATACCCTGACAACTACCCAATTCATATTCTTCTCGAGCGATGTCGCGGGCAACAGTAAATATATCCGATACGGAATCGCGGAGAACCTAATGGGTTACCGAGGCTCCGGCTCGACATGCAGTAGAAGGAACGTGGTGGTTTTTAGTCAGTAAGAGTTTAACACTACCTCCCGCCTCACCCAGGCCGGAGCAGTCATTCGGTGATTTTCCCCCCTTAAAAAAAACAGTAAATAAATAAATATACTAACTGCAGTACTTAGAGGTATCTAGTGATTAAAAATGTTATTTAGTAACGATTTTGTTTGTTTCGAAAACAATGTATTAAGGACTGCGTAGCCATTAAATGACTGTACAGCGGTTAATGTATGATTGTCTCATTACTCATTAGTCAAGTGGTAGACATCGCTACTAAGGTGTTAAGGGTGTTGAGTTTCATTCCCGATCCGGCGAGGTAGCGTGACATATAGATATATTTTCTAATTTTGGTAAGGAATTAAAGATTTGTATTATAACTTTCGTAAGACCTAGCTTCACCTAGTTTCACTGACGGACTGACTGACAGACTATTATTTATTTTGTATTTGTTGACGTTTCAAAAGTACCAAACTATGGTTTAATTGAAATAAATGCTTTGACTTTGACTTTGAAGACATACTCGATTAATTACTATGTCTTTCGGCTTCATCATCATCGTCATCATCAACAGCCGTATGACGTCTCTTCAGGACAAAGGCCTCCCCTTTAGTCTTTTCGGCTTACTCTCGTAATTATTTGATGAGGAACTCGACTTGGTTTAACTTTCAAGCCATGCTGGAGGCGTTCCGCGACCTGCGACGCGGCGGCGACTGTCGCCCTGCTAGGTACTGACAGGCGAATGCTGCTCATAAATATGAGCTTCTAGCATGGCTTGAAACTAGTCGAGTTACTCGTGCCTATATAACTACATTTGGGAGCAATGAAACGGAGCCGCTAGTATTTTTTCTTTTTCATTTTTCTGGATAGATATTTTCTGATAGTTACAAGTATTTTATTACTTGGTAACGTATGTATATCGTATAAAAGTCATTTTGGTTACCTTTAAACTGTCAAACACCAAGCGGTCACCGGTGACCGCGACCGCGACGCGTGTTCTTTAATTGTGTCTATAAAACCGGTACTCGACGAGTTAAAATGCGAGTATTTTGTTTTTTTTAAGACGTATTTTATTTTACTCCTGTGTCGTGGGTGCGTTTACAAACATACAACATCCAACCCGGAACATAAATTTGTGGATCACACAAAAAGTTGGTCCGTACGGGAATCGAACACGCGACACGTTGCACGGCAGCCGGTTGTACAGCCGCCGCACCAACAGTGCCGTCAAAAAAAGGAATAAGACTCCACTACCTTTACCCATATTCTGACAGTTTGAGTATTTGCGCGACCCATGCAAATGTTCTTTAGGTTGGTATTGTTCGGCGAATCAGTCAGCCTCACCTGTTAATTGAGCTGACTGTAAACCGACACATGCGTACTGCCTTCAGAGCGGGTCCGCTTAAACTGGTGTGGTTCCTCCAAAGGCCACTACAGAAAGAATTTGCACAGTTCTCATACATAATCTTTTATACACATTTGTCTGGACTTTAAAAGAGACGGACCTCTGAGTTTGTTTCGGCATGTCTTCTCAGAGTAGTCAGTTAGGAAATGTCGACCTCATCGTTCGCTTGATAAAATTGACGTGTAAAAGTGCTGCCTTATTAAGTGTGTTAAGTGTTTGATAGATTGAAAAAAAATCCGCATCAGAGAAGGAATAGACCCTACGTCTACGCAATATTAATATTATAGTATTTACAAAGGATTGTTTATTATTATAGTGATAATGTTAGTAAATATAATTTGTCGTTTGGTTCCAGAGGTCGGGATGTCGCAGCCGCATTATAGAGAGGCGGCAGAGTCGCTGTTAAGTAGTGTAAGCCCACACCATCGGACGCTAAGTAAGTGTACATATTTATTAACCCGTTGAAATCCATCCCCTAAATTTGTTCATACAAAAGTAGTCTCTAAACATTGGTAATAAGGTCTATAATGTAGTTAGTGGAGAGCGGTCACCGGTGACTGCTTGGGGATATATAGGTAGGGTTAAGTAGGGTAGATGCCTAATTTTTATTTCAATGTCCGTTTGGTAGATTATTTTAAATCATTAGACACGTATTTTTTATTTTCTTACAGAAACGAATACTTTCGGCGATATATTGATTTGAAGTGTCGCGTGACGTCACTTCTATGTCCATTTTATACGTAGAAATGACGTTATAGCCCCCACTCCAAAACTTTGATTCGTTTTATCTAAGTATTGTTTATTTATACGACAAAATAAGAAAATACGTGTCTAATATTTTTTCATTACCTACCTTACGGGAAAATTAGATTTTTAATTTTCATACCCTGTCATCATCCCTATTCTTTTAATTCATTTTATACATAATTGAATTCAAGTTTCTTTAGTGAAACGAATCTTTTGTGAATCGAAATGAATCGGTTTTAAGGCCGATTTTTCAACCGTCAGTTACTTTTTATCTGTAGAATAAAATTTACATTTGTCAATTTTTAACATAACATCACGTCTTTTATCCCCGAAGGGGTGGGCAGAGGTGCAAACTACGGCACTTAATGCCACTGTACAATGTAACACCCAGTTTTCACTATTTATATTATGAGTGATATGAGTCCCATGTAATAGTGGGTGAGCCTATTGCCATATACCGGGCACAATTCTAGACTCCGTGCTGCTACTGAGATTTTTTTATAAACTCAGCAATATTTTGCTTTTTTGACGTTCCGCGCGCTCCTCAAAGAGCCACCAGACCACCACGGATGGGGCCCAATAGGGTTACCGGGGCTCTGGCTCGAAGTGCAGGAGAAGGAACGGGGTGGTTTTTATTCAGTAAGAGTCTGACACTCTCTTCCGCCTCACCCAGGCGGGATAAGTGATTAGATGATTTTCCCCCCTTAAAAAAAAGCCCCCATACTCTCACTTTCTTTTTATTCTTTCTATTTAATTTTCTCTTTTTTTCTCTTACTCTTTCCCTTTCTCTTTCTCTTTTCTTAATTTCTTTCTTCCTGTAATATTGATATTGAGTGATTAGGACTGATTCCAGCTCACTCCACGTCACTGAACTTGGTGTCCGAAGATCTGGTGGCCGGACACAGGCCGCAGGGGAAGATGTCTACAGTCAGGCGGTTCTTCTGTCTTTTTGTCACTTTTGATCTGCTGTTCACTAGCCTCATGTGGTTAATATGTGTTATGGTAAGTTATCTTTTAGTTATAATTATAAATGAAAATTTAGTTGGTATTTCGTATAATGTCGTGGTGGCCCGGAGGAGGAGGAAACCTACCAACGGCAAGTATCAATGTGACTTTTTCAAAGTTATATGTACTTACTAAGATTATCTAGACACCACTGACAAACGGTGAAGGCAAACATCGTGAGGAAACCTGGGCTTATAATTTCTAATTATAAGTTTGTAATCACCAACCCGCATTGAGTAAGCGTGGTGATTAATTGCTCAAACCTTCTCCGTGTTAGAAGAGGCTTTGCTCAGCGGTGGGTATTTATAGACTATTGATGATGATGATGATTTCGTATGTACTGTCAGCACAGCTTTCAAGTGTGCAGGTTACAAAATAAAGTTTGGTTTAGTATAGTGACAGTAACCGTTGGTTAGCTCGCGGGCCTGCAGACGGCGAGCATGGGTGGCTCCCCGTCCGACCAGAAACAGACACGAGCGTACGGCGCGTCGCGTTCCGCGCGCGCCTCAAAGAGCCATCAGACCACCACAGATGGGGCCCAATAGGGCCGATGCCGATTCGGAGTCGCGGAGAACCTAACGGGTTACCGGGGCTCCGGCTCGACGTGCAGGAGAAGGAACGGGGTGGTTTTTAGTCAGTAAGAGTCTGACACTTCCTCCCGCCTCACCTAGGCGGGAGCAGTCATTCGATGATTTTAACCCTTTAAAAAAAAATTTAAAAAAACCCTTGGTTAGCTACTGAACCAACCAATGTTTACAGAAGATATGGTTTGGTTACTGTCCCTGCACTGAATCAATCTTTAACATAACATCACGCCTGTTATCCCCGAAGGGGTAGGCAGAGTTGCACATTACGGCACGTAATGCCACTGTACAATGTAACACCCATTTTTCACTATTTATGTTATGAGTCCCATGAAATAGGGGGTGAGCCTATTGCCATATACTGGGCACAATACCAGACTCCGTGCTGCTACTGAGATTTTTTAAAAACACAATCTTTATTGTTTAAAAATTCAATCTTTATTGTCTTACAATAATTGTGCTTGACGTGACTACATCCACTTTTCTCCAACTATGTGATGATGTATGAGATAAGCTTATTCAAACTCCAATCTAATAACAGAAAACTCTTTGCCCAACCCCGCTATCGAACCCCAAACACTTGAAAACTCATAAAAATGTTAACAATTTTCTTTATATTTTCAGATGCGAGGTGAAACTTTAGAGCAAATAATGAATTCTGAAATAGTACATTATAATGTAAAGACATCGCTATTCGATATAGTGATGGTGGCTATCTGTCGGTTTGTCGTCCTACTTCTGTTCTACGCCGTACTCTATATTAATAATTGGAGTATTATTGCGGTGAGTAACTGTCTCATAATTATTTAATACTTACTAGCTTTTACCCGCGGCTTCGCTCGCGTCACAAAAGGATGAAAAGCCTATGTGACATATACCAATACACACAGCGCCATCTATACCAATACTTTTGTTTTCCCTCGGGAATATCAAATTATTCCGGGATAAAAAGTACCCTAACAAACGCAACGTGTCGCGGGTTCGATTCCCGCACGGAACAACACTTTGTGTGATCCACAGATTGTTGTTCCGGGTCTGGGTGTCATTGTGTATGTGAACTTGTATGTTTGTAAACGCACACACGACACAGGAGATAATCCTAGTGTGGGGCAACGTTTAATTTAATAAAAAAAAATAGTATGTCTACGAAGGTTAAAATATAAATGTATGAATTGTTTAATAATAAATATATCTTGTTTCAGTTATCGACAGGGTGTACATGTGCCTTGTTAATAGCAAAAGTATTTGTGTTTGATGTAAGTATACGACTTTATTAATCTTAAATTCTTAAAAAGGATAGACAGAGGTGCATATGGTAACACCCACTATTTATGTTATGAGTCCCATGTAATAGGGGGTGAGCCTATTGCCATCCACCGGGCATAATAACAGACTCCAAACTTACGACTGAGAAGTTTCGAAAATCCCGAAAATCTCAATAATATACTTTGGCCGACCTGGGAATCGAACCAAGACAGTCATTGTTGGGCATAGAGTTGTTACTGTTAATAGTAAAAAAGTTGGTTTGTTCGGACTCGGCTCCGTGCGAGAATTTTCCAAAAACTGAAAAATCCAATGATAGTTTCTCGGACCCCGGAACTGAACTAGAGACCCTGTGTCAGGTAGCCACTTAAGTTTACATATTCACACAATTCCAGACTCCGTACTATTACTGAGATTTTTTAAAAAAACAATTCATTCTTTGCCCGAATCGAACCCGAGACCCCTTGCCCGGCAGTCGCACTTGCGACCACTCGGCCAACGAGGCAGTCAGTTAGACAATTTAATAATATGTAGTGTATATTAAATAATGTTGTATCAATTCTACTTGTCCTTCTTTCCCAGTGGCCTAACGCCGTGCAGCCGGTGTATGAGGTGTTCCTAATCCTGACATCGTTCACCCTGGCGTGGGGGGAGGCGTGGTTCCTAGACTTCAGGGTGCTGCCCCAGGAGTTACAGGCGAAGCAGATACTGGAGTCTATAGGTATGTGTCTATGAAGATGGTATGGGAGAGCCATGCTTCGGCACGAATGGGCCGGCTCGACCGGAGTGATACCACGGCCGAGCAGAAAACTGACGTGAAGCAACGCTTGCGTTGTGTTTCGTCGTGTGAGTGAGGTTACCGGAGACCCAATTACCCCCTCCCTAGTCTTCCGAATCCCCGAATCCTCCACCATCCTCAAATTCCCAATTCCCAAAAGGCCGGTAACGCACTTGTAACGCCTTGCTGTTCCAGGTGTCTATGGGCGACGCCGATTGCTTACCATCAGGTGATCCGTCTGCTTGTTTACCGGCTTATGACATAAAAAATAGATATTTCTAATTTGAATATGTAGGTAGAGAATAAGGCCTGATGTTATGTTATGTAATTGGCGTAATTTACAATGCAGCTGGCACTCATCGTATATTTCAATTACAAGTTTTTGCTCATCAAATAGAGATAATATAGTATTAGAAAACATAAAAACTGTCATAGAGTTCACCTTACTCTTTGATATTAGGAACTTGTTGGTTTTAAACCACATTGGATTTTAGAAACTCAGGAGGCAGGAGAAATAAAGAGTACCACCATTACAATTCACCTTATATTGTTAACATCGAAATCAAATTACAAATCAGAACCAGCTAAACCATAACTTTAATAGTTAGTGGAAAGAAAAACAACGACACATTTATAAATAGTCAAATTGACTTTCAAATATATTAAAACTAGCTTTTACCCGCGACTTCGCTCGCGTCACAAAAGGATAAAAAGTAGCCTATGTGACATATACCAATACACACAGCGCCATCTATACCAAAACTTTTGTTTTTCCTCGGGAATATCAAATTTTTCCGGGTTAAAAAGTACCCTATTATTTAATCTGGACTTCTAACTTTACGTCTGCAAAAATTCAAAGCAATTGGTTTAGTAGTTATGGCGTGAAAGTGGAACAAACAAACAAACAAACTTTCCGATTTATAATATTAGTAAGGATTCCCTCAACAATAAATACGCCGTCTCAATAACATCCGAGTTCCCGCCATCTTGACTTTTTCATTCTTCGAACCACAGATTACATTTTCCCGCTACGCGATGACGTTTGGTTTCTTTTCGTCTATGCTTCTAACAATAGCATAAGATCGGTGTCGTAAACTTACACAGTTCACATCATAAAACTAATAATAATGTTGTCCGCCAGTCCACCACAACACCTCCGAACGGACTCCGCTCCTGCAGGCCCAAGTTCCATATGCAAGTCAGTCCAACTATGCAGAGTCCACCGTCAAGTGGTTCTCTCCAGTCGAGACTCCGGAGTCCAGTCCACGGCCCAGGCGGCCTGGTGAACAGGTCATCTTGACCCAGGAACAGGTATGTGGAATATTTTATACAGTAACTAGCGGACCCAACAGACGTTGTCCTGCATATCCACTTGTATGTATAAACAAAAATTCATTCAAATTAGTTCAGCTGTTTAGGATAAATAACCTAAACATCGACTGCAGCGACATCTGCCGGGCTGATTTGTGAATCTTAACCATTCCCAAATCCCCTTGAACACACACAATCAATTTCATCAAAATCGGCCCAGTCATTTGAGACAAGTTCAGTGACATACACACTCACAGAAGAATTATAATAATATATATAAAGACTAGCTGTGCTCGCGACTTTGTCCGCGTAGAATAGTGATACACAGCTCCTCTCCCGTAGGTGATAGCGTGATAATGTGTAGCCTATATGTTGACCCGACCTTTTAGTAATATTTATGCAAGATTTGAAGTAAAGCCATGCAGCACTTTTTGAGTTCATCCCGGCCATACATACAGACAAACAGACAAAAATTCTAAAAACCATATTTTTGATTTCGGTGTCGACTGTTAATTAAGCATTGTTTTAAATAAATATTCGATGTACAGTTTTCCCTTTCCTACGATTTTATTATATGTGTAAGGAAAAAACGTTTTCTTTAATTATGAATTAATTGCTATTGTGAAATAGTCTTTGGTTTTTTTAAACGTCAATAATATAAGAACTTTGTGTTAAAGAATTTTTGAAATAATCATGTATGGAAGATAATTTTGAATTGATAGTCTACGTACGTTGCCCTACTCTAGGATCTTCTCCTGTGTCGTGGGTACGTTTACAAACATACAAGTTCACATACACATGACACACAGACACGGAACAATTTGTGAATCACACAAAGAGTTGTTCCGTACGGGAATCGAACACACACGCGACACGTTGCGCGGTAAGCAGTTGAACAGTTATGGTTCAATTGAAATAAATGAACTTTGAAATGATTAGCGTGCGTGGTCGCGGCGATGTCGCACAGCCTCTGTGAGCTTTTCTCAGTATATTCACGTGAGTACCTCGTCATTTTTAGTTAATTCTGTATGTCTCACAATAATTTCATAAAAACTTAGGAAACATGTTATAAATAACTTTCGTGAGACATACAAAATTATGCCTGACTGGTTGGCCGAGTGGTCGCAAGTGCGACTGCTGGGCAAGGGGTCTTGAGTTCGATTCTCGGGTCGAGCAAAATATTGATGGTTTAAAAAAATCTCAGTAGCAGCACGGAGGTTGGAATTGTGCCCGGTATATGGCAATAGACTTACTCCCTATTACATGGGACTCATAATATAAATAGTGAAAAGTGGGTGTTACATTGTACAGTAGCATTAAGTGCCGTAATGTACACCTCTGCCTATCCCTTTGGGGATAAAGGCGTGATGTTATGTTATGTTACATACAAAATTAATTATTATGTCTTCCGGCTTACTCACGTAATTATTTGACGAGGAACTCGACTAGTTTCAAGCCATGCTAGAGGCTCATATGGGCCCGCACCGCAGACTCGAGTAGCCAGTAGCAGCGTGACAGTCGCCGCGTCGCGGGTCGCGGAATGCTGCTCATGAGTATCAGCCGAAACAGATTAAGTTAGGAAATAGTCTGATAATACCCGTTTTTATTCGTAAACTAGCTTTTACCCGCGGCTTCGCTCGCGTCACAAATGGATAAAACGTTGCCTATGTGACACATACCAATACACACAGCGCCATCTATACCAATAATTTCGTTTTCCCTCGAGAATATCGAATTTTTCCGGGATAAAAAGTACCCTATTATTTAATCCAGAATTCAAAATTTACGTCTGCAAAAATTCAAAGCAATAGGTTTAGTAGTTACGGCGTGAAAGCGAAACAAACAAACAAACTCACTTTCCGATTTATAATATTAGTAAGGATAATTCCAATACGATCTTCCGATCTTCAATAATGAGCATACTCCCTTTTAGAAGGCCGGCAATGCACGTACACGTGCTCCGGGTACTCCTCAAGTGTTCCAGGTGTCCGTGGGCGACGCTAATTAAGTACTTTTTATTTATTTATTTATTAATAACTAGCTTTTACCCGCGGCTTCGCTCGCGTCACAAAAGAATAAAAAGTAGTCTATGTAACATATACCAATACACACAGCGCCATCTATACCAATACTTTTGTTTTTCCTCGGGAATATCATTTTTTTCCGGGTTAAAAAGTACCCTATTATTTAATCCGGACTTCTAACTTTACGTCTGCAAAAATTCAAAGCAATCGGTTGAGTAGTTACGGCGTGAAGGTGGAACAAACAAACAAACAAACTCACTTTCAGATTTATAATATTAGTAAAGATAAAGGTACATGGTATGCCTTATAATCTAACGCCATGTCCAACAAAACTATATATAAATACTTTGACTGTTGGATCTTCTATATTTAAATTACTATTTAGTAGGTATTAGTAGTTTACTATGATAATGGTTATGATTATTTTTAAATACATATGGTTATGGTAGTGTTGTTACTGATTAATTCTAAATACATATAGCTTACTCTTGAATCCAATTCCGAGCGATCGACATTGGTATTGTGAAATTTCGTACTCTCGAGTTGCAACACTAGCGCCCATAGCATCCGTATTGCGTGGATATTGAATGAACTAAAAGGTAATGAGTTTGGCTTTATATTCCGTACTCTGAATGCTATTTTAACAGCTACGATAGGGGTTGTATAGAGTTGATATTGAATAATTATTGAGATTTTATTGGATTGAAATTGCATTGACATTCAGATTGGTTTCAAGAGTAAACACCCAGGTGATCCGTCTGCTTATTTACTAAAAATCCTACTCCTTTTTGGGAGGACCCCCAATATCGTCCAATGATCTCTAAATGTCGTCTTACCGGCAATTTGCATCAATAATTCCATGATTAAGACTTTAATTGTACAGAAAGAACCGCCGTCGATCAATTGATTCTAATTTAGCTTACATATATCTGTTATTGTATGTCCTTGTGTCTGTTTTAACATCTGGTTGTAAGAAGTAGTGTATAAATATTTTATCAGGTGTTATTTGTGAGATATTATTATTATTTTTCAATCATCACTTAATTCTTAACTGTAGAATAAAATTAACATTTGACAGTTTTAGTATGGAATAATTTTAGTATTGAATGACTGCCTCGTGGGCCGAGTGGTAATAAGTGCGACTGCCGGGCAAGGGGTCTCGGGTTAGATTCCCGGGTCGGGCAAAGTATTACTGGGTTTTTGAAATATTCTCAGTAGTAGCACGGAGTCTGGTATTGGGCCCGGTATATGGCAATAGACTCACTCCCTATTACATGGGATTCATAACATAAATAATGAAAAACTGGGTGTTACATTGTACAGTGGCATAATGTGCACCTTTGCCTACCCCTTCAGGGATAAAAGGCGTGATGTTATGTTATGTTAGTATGGGATAATTGTCAAATATTCAAAGTTATCCCTCTGATAAAAGGAGATCATTTCGGCTCCATACATTTTGGGCCTCATCTAAAAGGGCCTTGGATACGGATTCGTATTGCGAAAATATCTTGACCGGTCGTCTTCCAAACTTAGGTACCGAGACCCCAGCACGGAGTAGAATTTGGAACGAGGTACTTTTTAGTAGTAGTCAGTAACGGTCGGGTAACTCCCAGACTCCCTTCTACTTCCCCAGGACGAGAGGAGCCAGTTGAAGTAATTCGAACAAAAGAAGATGACAGCGACAGCATTTCCCATTATCATCACAATAGGGTAGACGACTAATTTTTATTTTAATGTCCGTCTGGTAGATTATTTAAAAAAATTAGACACGTATTTTTTATTTTCTCACAGAAACCAATAGTTTCGAAGATATATTGATTTGAAATGTCGCGTGACGTCACTTCTCAGTACATTTTATACTAAGAAATGACGTTTTAGCCCCCACTCCTAAACTTTGATTCGTTTTATCTAAGTATTGTTTTATTATACGACAATATAAAAAACTACGTGTCTAATATTTTTTCATTACCTAACTTACGGACTAATTATATTTTTAATTTTCATACCCTGTCATCATCCCCATTCGAACAAAAAGAGATGACAGCGACAGCATTTCCCATTATCATCACAATTGCTTCAGATACTTTATCCAAGCAATATCAATCATTATTTTCCGTTTCCTAGGACCTTTACAATTTTAGTCAAAAATCAATTTATTTATTTATATCAAAAAAAAAACAGCTAATTTAATCTTTACAGGTACTTAAGCCTAATACGACAAAATTAGTTACATAACATAAAATTTCAAAATTCAAAATTACATTATACATACGAAAGTTACATTATACATACGAAATCTAAACATAGTATCACAAAAAAATAATAATAATAATAATACCACTACTAAAGTTTTAAATACTAACAACAATATAGGTGGCTCTTGTGAACTCATTCAACGAACAAGGAAACAAATCGACCCCACTCGACACTGCACAAAGCAATAAATGTATGATAATGATGAATCTTCGAACTGATATAACTTCTTCATCTTGGATCCTACATCTTTCACGACATACTAACTTTTGTTTCAATTGTCTAGTTCTAACGATACACACACTAGATTTTTGAAAATATGCGCAGTATCAAAGTATTCTTTTTACTTAAAGACCTCTGCTCATGACCCCATTCTGATCTAATTTCAAATCTTATAACATGGCGCGTTATAAAAATTATGCGTCCCTTTATCAGAAGACAAGATAAACAAATAAAGTCAAAGTTAAGGGTCTCCATCATCCATTTTATTTTTAGTATGATTTTGATTTTATAACACCACACTACTAAAATATATACCACACACCCTGCTATAAAGATTTTTTGAAAAAACGAAATCTACTATTAGAAATATACTAGCTACGTCCGCGCGGTTTCACACGCTTTGCTCAGCTCCTATTGGTCGTAGCGTGATATTTTATAGCCTATAACCATCCTCAATAAATGGGTTATCCAAAACAGAAAGATTTTTTCAAATCGGACCAG